CACACACACACACACACACACACACACACACACACACACACACACACACACACACACACACAGTGACGTTTTGTACTCTTTTAGGCCTGGAGGCGCTTAATGCATTCATTTGCATGGGGCGTTTGCATTTAAAGAGGATAAACATAAAGCTGTGTGTGCTCGGCACCTGACTTTTTTTTTCACTGCTTGGCATTTAAAGTGATTTTTTTTGTTTTTTATTTATTTGTTTATTTTGTGCTGGAGCTTTCTCCAGTGTCTGCATCAGGTGAAATGAATTAGAGCAGAATCAAGAATCAGCTTTTATATTTAAAAGAAAATATTGTTGAAACCTGCAGTGACATTATTCTATCCTGTGGCATAGGCAGTGTAGGCAAATGCTACTAAAGGTGCCATCTGTCTAGGGGCGCCACAAATTTGGGATGAAAAAAGTATTGAATGTAGAATAATCCCAGGGTACTTAAGTTTGTGAAGGTAACTTGTTCTGTGGGTTTCTCAGCYTCCATGTGTCGTTGCAGAKGAYTTTTCAASACTACTGATGCTCAGTGTGTAAATAGAAAACAAAATCAGGAGAATGAAAGTCTCAGTGATGATCTCAGATAAAGTTCAGGTTAAAGTCAWGTTTTCAGTAAAATACTGATTTTGTGTTATTTAATTAATCCGCAGAATTTAGCAAAATGCTCTTCAAATGGCTGAAAAATGCATAATTTTGAGTAGACCTTTTACTAAATTTTCTGGGAGAGTAAATCCCTGGACCCCCCCAGAACTGCTTCACTCCACAGTTGCTCGTTAACATGCACAGGTGTTCCTCATTGCTGTCAGCAGATGTTGGCAGGCATGATTTCTGTTTCAAATGAATTATACTATTCACTTTTTCAATTGGCCAATCTGGTTTCTAAAAATAAAAAAATTAACATCAAAATAAAAACTAATTCGGTGAGGCAGTGAGATTTAGAAAACTTAGCCGACCCATTCTAACCAGTCACACAGGAAATGAAGCTTTTGTTGTTGTTGTTGTCAGGGAATTAAAGATGGTGTTTTCTTTCGTATAAATGAAATAATAGATATTACTGTCTGACATGGCTGCTGTCACACAAAACAACACAAGTCCAACAATCTGACCTTTGGTCTGTGAATCATTGTGGCTTTAGTTTCACAGTGTCTTCAGTTCAGTGTTGTGTTAAAGAGAAGGGGCACGCTTGCTCTGCCCTCACTGAGTGTGTGCCCATTTCTAAACAGTTCTTCTGCAGGAGCAGGGTGTGTGTGTGTGTGTGTGTGTGTGTGTGTGTGTGTGTGTGTGTGTGTGTGTGTGTGTGTGTGTGT